CCATAAGTGCTCAGTCCCCATCTTCAACAACAAGCGAAGAGTTCCGATTCTGATGGTACTAGTAAGCGTTTGATTTTTTTTTTTTTTTTTTAAATCAAAGGACACCTTTATTTCGGCTTCAAAAAGATCGACAGATATAGAAAACAAAAAAGCGCAGCAACAATGCATCACACTTTACATTCACCATTTATAAACTGCATCATTTGATTACTTGTATGAGTAAACAACGCTAGAAAACACAGATTTAAACACAGAAACATTTATTTGACTGACCGCGTAATAGGCTCTTATATCTCCCTCGACACCTCTAGTGGTAAAAGAGGAAGAAGAAGAGTGCGTTAAAAGTGAATTCTCGCAATTACAACCACAGTGTCGGATTGAAAGATGGATACATAGATTCCAAAGTTACTAGACATAACCCCCCCCCCCCCCCCCCCCAATTTTTTTTTTTTTAACCGTACGCTCAGAAAGTCCAGAAGAATTGCCAGAATAACTTTTAGGGCACTAAGTGAAGTAGGTCATAATTTTCAAACTTCAGGCACAACTGTACCTGCTGGCCAATCCTCTTAGGATTATCAGAATACTTTTAGCTAAAAACGGGGCATTCCAAACAAGTCAGTTTCTACCCCTAGACCTTTTTCTACAATAATTTATTATTATCATTTGTATCCAAAGCTATGAAATATAATAAGATCCGCACATATAAGTGGATGTTCTACTTTCGAGCTGATTCCTTTTTGACGTGTGTGTTTTGTTCAAGTGCCGCTGGGGCGGTAGGAGCACACCTAAGACAGGTGTAGGGTCACCCCAGATCCAATTCTTCCTAGCTACAAAACTAGGCCACATAGCGTTTGATTGTATATCCGTTCTATGGATTTTGCTTCCTTCGACATTGGACTGCAACTCTAATGGCGGTCTGTTTGTATTGCTATTTCTAACAGTGTCTTTTTCATCTATTGCATGTGTTTGCTATTTTCTTCTTGTCCATTTTTGTCCCCACGGGGTTCAGTGATGGACATAATGTGTGGTTTTCACCGGCACAGGAGCGGAGTATCCATGGGGTGGCCCATTTGCGTGAAGTTGGAACTTCTATTATCTAATAATATAGAATGTAGATTGTCTCCTAATGATTCAAATAATTATTGTTTTTTTATCACACAGGGGACATAATCGAAGTTGGCTTTAGTGGAAACATTGAATGTACCGATGAGTTGCCTGAACAGCTGTTCTACAAGTCGAATATACCCACTGTGGTAAACTGTTATTGTTTTATATTATTTCATCATCGGCGTCTTAACCATCATCATGTAGCAGGTCCTTTGCAGAACACTGATTTTATCGCGGTCTGCCTGAAAGAAAACGCCGACTCTTGCCAGCTGTCCCGCTCGTACACTTTTATATCCAAGGAGTCATTTACAATTGCTGACGTCGTCCCCATGTGAGACGCAATTTTTCGTTATTTTAAAGCCCCACCCTGGCTTTTTCCGGGGGCCGTAATATAACCTGATGGTTGAACCCGGTTTCTTGGACCTCTCCACGGGTGATCCTCATCCTCATGGTGGCACTTTGTGTCACCGGGTGTTTATCGCTTATGTGATGCTCTAGTTGGGTAAACTTTACTTACTTACTAGGAGTCATTTATATATGTGCCCATTTTCGTGCTGTTCGGTCCTTGCCCCTCTTTCCTGGTACTATGCCTTCTGCTTTTATTTTTCTCCAATCCGCCATGGCGCTGGATATTTTTTTTTTTAACGTAAAGAGCCCTTTTTCACGTCTTTTATGCGTAAAGGGTATATAGGGCTGGTTATATAGACCAAACGGCACAAGATGGGTGATATGGTCAGCATCACATCAGCCTTTACTTCCCGAGACTGCACCCGGTACTGACTGACTGACTGACTTTCTACCCCACCAGGACATCACACAAGCGACAAACACGCGATCACACAAAGTGCCAACATGCGGGTGAGGATCACCGTGGAGAGGTCCTAGAAACCGCGTTCAGCCTGTAGACCACATTTATGGCCGGGCTATATTGCGGCCTCTGGCAAGAGCCAGAGTAGGGCTTCAAATAACGAAAAATTTCATCCTAAAAAAAGACGAGTAGTATTACATTTTTTGGTTGGGTCGACCTTGGAGGACGCTTGATATAGACCAGTATATTTCAGTTTTCTCAACAAGTTTACTAGCCAATCTTTCTTGATGTTCAGATCTTTTTAGATGTATTTCTTTTCTTCTTGGCCCATACTATTCTAAATACCCATAGTATGACCTCTGTCCTATGCGCCGCCATAGGCACATGAGGCAAGACTAACTAACTAACTAACTAACTATAGTATTCCAAGAATTTCAGCTCGAAAGTCCTTATTTTCTTTTTTTAATAACTCTAAGGTAGTCCACGACTTACATTCGTATGTTATCAAGTGAAAGAAACATACTCTCAAAATTTGGACTTTCATTTCCATGCTAGTTCTTAACCAGATATTAATCATCATCATTATCAACATCATCATCATCATCAACATTATCATCATCATCATCATCATCATCATCAGTTTCTACTTTTGCCATTAATCCGCGTGGTGATGAACGGTTTGCGGTCTCTTGCTCGGCGAGTAGCCCTGGCTATTGTTATTTCATGTGGCCCTAGAATGTCTTTAATGTCATCAGTCCATATTCTGTTTGGGCACCCACTTCCTTTCACATCTGAACTTCTTAGATATAACTCTTGTATTGGTAGTTGGGTCTGAAATTCTTGAGCGATAACCAAACCATTTGATCTTCTGCTTCTCATTGAATTCGGTGCACGGTGTTGTTCCCACAGTCTGTCTGATAGTTTCATTTGTCACTGGATCTCCGACGGTTGAGTTGGCGGGTTGCCTAAAACATCTCATTTCACGGATGTTAATTTTATGTAAGCTGGACTTTGATGTAATATTTGCTGTCATGTGTTAAAGATGATATGTGAGAATCGACTTCATAGTGCTGGATGGAATTCTTTATAGCTGAGATAAAGAAGAGTAGTATACAGCAGCAGCAGCAGTAGTAGTATTAAATATAATAGTAGTAGTAGCAGCAGTAGTAATAACTGTAATGGTAGTAGCAGCAGCAACAGCAGCAGCAGTAGTAGTGGTGGTGGTGGTAGCAGTACAAGCAGCAACAGCTACAGTAGTAGTAGTAGTAGTAGTAGTAGTAGTAGTAGTAGTAGTAGTAGTAGTAGTAGTAGTAGTAGTAGTAGTAGTAGTTGTTGTTGTAGTAGTAGTAGTAGTAGTAGTAGTAGTAGTAGTAGTAGTAGTAGTAGTAGTAGTAGTAGTAGTAGTAGTAGTAGTAGTGGTGGTGGTGGTGGTAGTGATGGTGGTAGTAGTAGCAGTAGTGGCAGCAGCAACAGCTACAGTGCTAGTAGTAGTACTAGTAGTAGTAGCAGCAGCAGCAGTAGCAGCAGCAGCAGTAGTAGTGGCAGCAGCAGTAGTATCCACAACAGTCAGTAATGCTCAAAGTATTTCTGATCAGAAGAACCAACCAACAGGCGTAATGTAAAACTGACATTTTCAGACATACTTTACTGTGAAAGAAGAGAATAAGTATCGACAAAAAGAACAGGATGTTTACAGTGGCTTGATCCATCTGACGCGGCGATACCCTGTGACCCTTGCGAGGGTTAAGAAAGTGCAAACTCAGGGTCAAGGTGAGGACGCGCCTCAGCAGCCGATCCCAAGGGAGTGGAGGAGTGAGCAGTTGTGTACTATTCAGATCAACATTCCCAAGGTGAGGATAAACAGCATACTACTTTTATGTATGTCTGTGTGTCTGTCAGTCTACCTGCTTATATGTCTATCTATCTAATCTGTCTGTCTGTCTGTCTGTCTGTCTGTCTGTCTGTCTGTCTGTCTGTCTGTCTGTCTGTCTGTCTGTCTGTCTGTCTGTCTGTCTGTCTGTCTGTCTGTCTGTCTGTCTGTCTGTCTGTCTGTCTGTCAGTCTACCTGCTTATATGTCTATCTATCTAATCTGTCTGTCTGTCTGTCTGTCTCTCTGTCTGTCTGTCTGTCTGTCTGTCTGTCTGTCTGTCTGTCTGTCTGTCTGTCTGTCTGTCTGTCTGTCTGTCTGTCTGTCTGTCTGTCTGTCTGTCTGTCTGTCAGTCTACCTGCTTATATGTCTATCTATCTAATCTGTCTGTCTGTCTGTCTGTCTGTCTGTCTGTCTGTCTGTCTGTCTGTCTGTCTGTCTGTCTGTCTGTCTGTCTGTCTGTCTGTCTGTCTGTCTGTCTGTCTGTCTGTCTGTCTGTCTGTCTGTCTGTCTGTCTGTCTGTCTGTCTACCTGCTTATATGTCTATCTATCTAATCTGTCTGTCTGTCTGTCTCTCTATCTAATCTGTCTGTCTGTCTGTCTGTCTGTCTGTCTGTCTGTCTGTCTGTCTGTCTGTCTGTCTGTCTGTCTGTCTGTCAGTCTACCTGCTTATATGTCTATCTATCTAATCTGTCTGTCTGTCTGTCTCTCTATCTAATCTGTCTGTCTGTCTGTCTGTCTGTCTGTCTGTCTGTCTGTCTGTCTGTCTGTCTGTCTGTCTGTCTGTCTGTCTGTCTGTCTGTCTGTCTGTCTGTCTGTCTGTCTGTCTGTCTGTCTGTCTGTCTGTCTGTCTGTCTGTCTGTCTGTCTGTCTGTCTGTCTGTCTGTCTGTCTGTCTGTCTGTCATCAGCGACAAGAAGAGGGTTTAGAGATAAATAGTTCTAACACGTTGTAGAGTAACTAATTAGAATATAGCTGTTGTCGATGATGTTTACAACTTGATATTAAACACCTGTATGAATTAAATAGTGTATGAAAGGAGTGAGACCAGAAGGGTAGAATGCTAGACGGGACAGCGCACGTCATTCATAATCCTCTGAAAATAAAGTTCGTTTGTTCTGCTACTGTCTTCAGTACCATGTTGAGGCCAGTACAGAACCGAAGAAAGCGCCAGTTTCCGTCAACAATTCCAGTGGACCGGTGGACACCGAGCTCCTGATGGCTTTAGCCGCGTCCCTGGGAGACGAGTGGAAGCAAGTTGGTCACTATCTGGGCGTGCAGAGAGCAAGAATACAGGTTATCTATCTTGTTTGCACATATTAGCTATCTGACTGACTGACCTTTCGCCCCACTAGGACATCACGGGGGGGGGGGGGGGGGAAGGGTCGGGGGGGTGGGTGGGCGGGGGGCTGCGTGGTCTCGAGGCGTGGTGTCCGCTTCGAGTGCTAGAGGTTCCGGGTTCAATCCCCAGTAAGGGTTAGGATTTTTTCACCACTTGGACTTAGTAATTCCGCCTGGTCTCTGGATAGTGAGATCGGTCGCCCGTGGGCATAGTTAGGTTAGTTGCGTATCCTATACAGGGCGTTGCAGAACCAACCCCCAACATCCCATGGCTGTTGTGAGGTTTTTCTAGGCAAATTTACGTCCAGTAGTTTGTGTAAAAAGAAAGCCTGGGCAGTTGGAAATCGAAAAGAGCAGCCTAACAGCGCTGCCCAGGAAAAATTTGGAGTTAAAAATCTACCCAAAGTATTTCAGGATTCTCACCGGTGCTACAGAGCCTGTGCACCGTGCTGAGCTTCTTCAGACTGAGACTTGAGTTAGAAAAGAACGGAGCACTTATGCATTACTACCTGTGTGCCATGATGTTGATCCGTTGTTCAAACCTCATATATATCCTATTATGTCAGTTACCTTATTACATATTGTTTGCCATTCCGCTCATATTAAAAGTAGTAAAAATAAACTAAAGGACATTTTGCCATGCATTTAGGCATATTGGGCAAATAGACCTAGACCTACATTATATAAACCAATCGGCACTCAGTAGATGTGCTTTTACTTCCCATGACTTTTCCTACCATCCATTTAAGACCGGGTCGACATGGGAACCAAGACCATTTATTTTTTTAATCCGATCCCTTTATCACCTGAACCCACTAGCTTGGCGTATGCAGGCTATTTTCTAGCCGCGGCACCACGGCGGCTACATATTCAGCACATATTAGTATTGTGTCTTTAAACAAGACTTAAGCACCATTAACTCTTTCAGTCACATACATATAGACCTTTGACATCTTTGCTCAAGCAACTGATGCTTAAAGTAAAATATGCATGGTTACGAAGGGGTCGAAATAATCAAACTTTAGAGCAGGAGGAGGGGAAGTAATAATTGGAAAGAGTGGGTTAAAACTACAGGTTGTATGAGGTACAGGCAGCTTAGAAAGTATTGTATGCTAGGCAACTCCAGTAAACGCATGGTGTAAAAAAATATAAAGTCGTGACATGTGAACCAACGTCACTGCACATGGTTATAAACCATAAGTGCTCTGCCGTTAGTAAGGACAGCTGATAAGAAACTGTCCGCCTGGGTCGCCGTCCACACGAAGCTCCGTAGCTACAGCGACGTTCCTCCATTTACTCCAGTACTAACTCTAGTACCCATTTCCTAGAGGCTGGGTGAACCCTGGGAATCCGCCCGGTTTCGAACACCGGCCGTGGGCTGCAGCGAGTCGCAGCTGGATTTGAAAGCGAGTCTCCTATCGACTGTGCTAACGCAGCCCCGCGTGTGTTGCTTGGTACTCAACTATTTAGGGACCAACCCTCCCTCCGCCTCTAGAAAACTATAAGTGGCTAAGCCCACCCCTGCTGTTTCCTTTTGTGTTGCTGCCCCTGTTTGCAATATTATTGCTGGTAATATGTTGCCTTAAGTATGATGTGTCCATGTGCCACTAGTCCACTACGGCAGCCATAACGGTCATCCTGGGTCACCCCGAAATGTCCTGGCTAACGGGGCTCTGGGGAAGTTACGACAGGCCTAGCAAGCCGGCAGTGGATTTACTACCGCTACAACAGTTACAGTGAAATATAAACGGACTGATCAAACTGCATTTGACCATTAGAAAGAAAGAATGCTTTCTGATGCTGTATCATACAAGCAATATACAAAAAGAGAAGGACGTAGAGCAAGAGGTAGACTAAGAACAAAATGGGAAGATAACATCGGAGAAACTCTACAGGACCACGATGGGTCTATGGTCGAAGCAGCCAGAAGAGCAAGAAAGCAGGCCCGTATATCTCTCTAGTCACCCGAAATTGTAAAAGAGGACGTAAAGAAGAAGAATGCTTTTACCACCTAGGTGTGACAGTTTAACAGGCGACTGACTGAAAGCCAAGCTTTTGCGCGCTCGTAGTAATAGAAATTATCATCATCATCATATTTCCACTTTTTGTAGTTAAGTGACGTGGGTGGCAGCAGTTTGCCATCCGTAGTCGTCCGGTGTTAAAGTATAAGGTCTGTAATGCCATCAGTACACCTCTCAAATGACGACCTCTTGCTTTCACATCAGATCTTTTCGAGTTGTGTTGTTAGTTGTTTTGACTGCATTCTAACGAGGGGAGAATGAGGCACCTGGATGTAACCAGAGGGTCTGGCCGGCTCCCTACACTCAGAGGAAAGGCAAGACGGACATATAAATAGATTGAGACCGGTACCATCAGTACTGGAGCTCTGCGCTGGCTGCTGAAGATGAGGACGGAGCACGCATGGGAATGCCCCGAGTGCTGTGTTGTCAATTCTTGACTCAACTCAACTCAACTCTAACGAGGTGACCAAACCATTTGATCTTATGTTTCTCAGTGACTTTGTCACGCGATGATCGTTTGGTTAGGTTGGCGGCTTTCCTTAGTAAGGTCTATTTCTGTGAAACTTTCGATTTCAATTTTTGTGTAAACTTTTACTGTAACTTTTTTTAGGCTATCATGAGAAATGTCACTGTGGGTGAAAGATCTGAGCAAGAAGCCAAGTACGACATGCTTGTCACCTGGCTGAAAGGTGCAGCCAAAGCTTTAGACAAGGTTAGTTACATGAATTATTTGTTAAGAAAATCCACAACATAGCATTCAAGACATTACCACAAGCGTCCATTCCCCATCTTCCGCAGCAAGCGCCGAGTTCCAGTTCAGTTGGTGCCAATACCAGCCTGATTGTTTGTCCGTCTCGCGCTTTCCATGATGGAAAAGCGTCGGTCAGAACCCCTTCTCTTCACACCGTCACGATCTAATTGTTCCCCCCTACTGTTTATCCGCTCCCAAGAGCGCCCTTACATCATCTAATTTTGCGTGCTTCACGTAGCCCCTAATTGGTATAAAACCACCAGTCTGTCCGTGTGTTCATTTCCCAACACAGCGGCATTCCCTGGAGAGGAACATTCAACGAACTCAGGCGCCCGGCTCTCTAGAGTAGTTGGGCTAAACCGGATTGCGCGGAGATCTGGTGACGAACTCCTTGTGGTCCGGGTTCAATCCCGGGGGTAGGCAGGAAAGCCACATTTCTCCCAGATCTACGGTATTTACAATGTAATCAAGGCCGAAAGGTTGCGATATCCATAATACCGAACCTAAGAGTTAACAACTCATGGCTTCTGGATACTAAAACAAACAAACAAACGAACTCAGGCCTAGCTCCGCCCAGCTACACACGTATGAGTGACGAAGTCGGACCAGGACACTGTGATTGGGCGTTCATTAGTGCGTGTTAACCTTTGAGACGCGTAATGTTAAGTGGCAGGGATGTCAGGTTGGTGCGATGTTGCACCGTCTCGACAATCTAACCGGCGACCACGCGTGCTCTATATTACAGGATGTGAGCGGTTTCGTCGACCCCATAACATGAACAACTGGCCCTAACCTCAACCCCCCCCCCCTACCCTACACAATGAACCTAGATCCGACGAGAGAGTGAATTCTACACCCCTCTAACGTAGAACAGCTTCACCACTCATCAATGAAAGGTCAAATAGTGTGTAGATGGGCGGAGCTGGGCATGAGTTCCTTACTACTTCCCATGGAGAAAATATCCATAGAAGGATACATACCTGGGACCTCTAAAGGGATGCTTGCCACTCTCCACTGAATATACCTGCGTTACAAAAAAGGGTTATCTGTTGCCGCCAAGGTTGGGTCCCTCATCTGTTTGTTTGGGTTCAGGTAACTTTTCAATGTGATTATATCCTTATCATGTGATGCAAGGGCCTTTCATCGTCATCCTCATGACAAGCAGCATCCTCATCGGCAGCGTTATTCTTATTATTAATATTATTGTCCTTATCCCCCTCTCCGCCTCATTCTTCTTCTTCTTCTTCTTCTTCTTCTGCTATCTTTCTTTATTTATTTATTTATTTATTTATTTTGTTGTTGTTGTTGTTAGTATTGTTGTTGTTGCTTGTTTGTGATAAGCATTATCGTCTTCATTATCTTCTTTATCATGTGCCATGCCGATAACCCTAGGCTGTAATGTTTCGCCATCTCACACGATCACCGTAATTATGGATCAGATCACTGTTCTTGTCTCGCCCCCATCCATGTGGCCAGTCCACCCAGGTGTGTATCTATTTGCCTCCCTGTCGCTCTCTCTCTCTCTCTCTCTCTCTCTCTCTCTCTCTCTCTCTCTCTCTCTCTCTCTCTCTCCATCAACTGGGCCTACTGTTGTCAAGCTCTTGAGTTCATTCCTTCTTCTAGCATGTCCGAAAGTGATAAGTATAGTGAGTTACAGTTGTTTTTTGTTTGTTTAATCTCCAGGTGTCAGCATTGTCAATGGCACTTAAGTATAGTGATCGGCACGATTTGGCAGAGGCCGTAAAGGAAAGGACCCGAGACTTCAGCGACATGAGGCAGCAACACCTTACAATAGCTAACTAGGATGATATGTTTAAACATTTGCTATTGTTGAAAAATGATCTTACACCCATGAACCATTACTACAACTAATGAGGGGAAGATCGTAACAACAGAGATAAGATGTCTTGGGGGAGCTGCAGGTATGACAGGAAGAAAGAAAATCGGGAATGAATAAATTAGAAGAAGATTAGGACTGAAACCAAGCATACAGTTCATTTTAAATAATAACAAGTGAGATGGTTTGGCCATCATACGAGAATGCCTTAGTACCAACAGCCACAGAGACGCTGGAAAAATATAATGAACAAAATCAGCACCAGTTTGTACAATGCATTGGAAAAAAGTGCATAAACGATCGTTGCATCTCTCCCAGTACCTCGCTGAGGTAAATGGTGCAAGAGAAGAAGAAGAAGAAGAAGAAGAAGAAGAAGAAGAAGAAGAAGAAGAAGAAGAAGAAGAAGAAGAAGAAGAAGAAGAAGAAGAAGAAGAAGCAGCAGAAGGAGAAATAGAAGAAGTAGGAGGAGGAGAAAGAGACATAGAGGAGGAGAAAGAGGAGAAGGAGGAGGTGAAGAAGAAGGAGGAGGAGGAGGATGAGAGGAAGGAGATGGAGGAGGAGAAGGTAAACGAGTACACAGTGTTCCCGTTTCACCGGATCTCGTTTGTCTGGCCATTTCTTATGTTGTTTTTTTTTTTGTTTGTTAAATGTTGAAAAAAAAATGTGTATTGTATGTTGAATAAAGAATCGACGTCGCCGCAGGCGGGACATTCTCGTAAACGCCCCTTTCCCATCTACAGCAGAAAGCGCAGGATTTCCAGATACCTAGGTACCAGTAAGAGTCTGATTGTATATTTCAGTTTTCTTACTCTTCCCTTGAGCATCGGTCAAGTCCCTTTGCGTGCAGTTCAGTTTTTCTCATTCCGTGACGATCTATTCAGGGAACATCTCATCCTTTCACAGTGACATCTGGAGGAAGACAGGGGTGTGTCTTATCACCACTGCTGTTTATCACCTACATCGACAGTATATGCAAGAATGCCAAGCCCATGAATGAAGATCTTAGTAAGATCAACGAATTACTCTTTGCAGATGACCAGGCCTTAATAGCAGATACAGCCATGAAATTGCAACAACATCTAACATCCATGAATGAAGAATGTAAAACAAATAATATGAAAATCAACACTGAAAAGACAGAAGTAATGTCAATAGGAAAAAAGAAGACAGATCTAAACATAACAATAGAATACAAAGGCGTTAAACAGGCATCTGAGTTTAAATACCTGGGAACTACATTTACCGAAGATGGGAAATTGGATAAAGAAATTGACATTAGATGCAGTAAAGCAAACCAAGTATTGGGACAGCTAGCTCCCCTCTTACAGCATAAGACAATCCCAGTCAGCACAAAGAGACATCTTATTCAAAGCATATTTATTCCAACTCTGTGCTACCAGTGCCAGACATGGTCACTCACAACAAACCATAAAAGAAAATTAGTAACCACGGAAATGAGATGTCTGAGAAGGGCTGTAGGAGTGACCACAAGTCGGCACAGAACCAATTCTGGATTACATACAAAGACAGCAAGTGAAATGGTTTGCCCACTTAGAGAGAATGCCTTGTGACAACATACCATACAAAGCATACATGGAAAGAGAAGAAGGACGTAGAGCACGGGGTAGACCAAGAACAAGATGGAAGGATAACATCAGAGAAACTCTACAACAGCACGATGTGCCTATGGTCGAGGCAGCCAGAAGAGCTAGAAACAGAACCTTATATCTCCCTCGACACCCACAGCGGTAAAAGAGGAAGTGAAGAAGAAGAAGAAGAAGAAGAAGAAGAAGACGATCTATTTGTGCCTTGCTCCCAAAGGACCATTACAATTTTAAAAATATTATACATATATATATATATATATATATATATATTAAAAATAAATGAAAAGTTATATTATCACAGTCAACGTCACTACATACTGGGCATTCACAAACATTCTCACTATTTCGATGAAGACGTGTCGGAAGGTATTTGTAACGGTGAATGATAAGCCAATCCGCAGAACCAACGAACCTTATTTTCAAAGGATTAAAACTAGGTCACGCAGGCTTATCAACATTTCGCCCTTCTAATTTCATCGCTTTCTTACATCGCCTCGTTCATGCGTCTTTTGACGGATAATAATTACAAATGTTGAAATGTTCTTGAATTATGTCATAATTTATAACAACATTAAATCATAGTTTTTAATTGGTTAGTTCGACGTTAGTTCCAAATAGAGTAGGTCACTTTTCATTCACAAGTTTGTTGGGCTTGTCGACTTTACTGATGGTTACGGGTGTGTCCCGCTCTGTTGTTTGGATTCTGCGATGTCTTGCATTTACGTTTTCATTCCTAGAAAGAGAAGACACGTGACATAGGCTGCAACACTCTTTAGAAGGGTTGTGTTAGACCCAGTCTCTCCGTGTTTTTATTGTTAAAAGCGCTGGCGTGCTGAAATCTACACCACATGATATCAGCGGCATTGCGGAACATCCCCGTAACCGTGTGCGAAGGTTATGGGGCTCGGGAACTATCAATCAGAAGTGAACTAGTGTGTATATGAGCGGAATCTGATGAGACTAACGTTGAACTAACCTATTTATTATATATCGTAGGTATTACTAGGCATTTCTGTGTTATAGTGCGTTCCAAAAGTTGTGCCGAACTTCAAAACTTTAACTCAGTTCCGTTCTATGTAAAAAAAAAAAAAAAAAGTAAAGTTCCCTTTTCACGCCTTTCGGCGCATCGGGCATATGGCCAGAGCTTCCCATATTTTTTCAGACCATCAGCACTCTGTGGGTAATGTGGTCAGCATTACGCCGGCTGTCTTTACTTTCCCAGGACTCCGTTCTATGTAAACTGTTAAAATGTGGCTGCGACCTGTTAATAATCATGTCCTTGTAGGGAAAAGAATATAATGTAAAAAACATCTAGTTTTTTATATTTATTTTTTATTTAGCATGCGAACCTATTAATAATCATGTCCTTATATGGAAAACAATGTAATGTAAAGAAACATCTAGTTCTTAATTTGCCTTATATGTGGTATAAGAAGAAAAAAAAAACCACAGGACTTTGTAAACGGACTATAAGTAACAAGCCATTGTCAAAATCAACTCTAAGCTTTCTGCGCTCTAATCGCAACCACATGTTTTGTTTTGCTAAGTTATTACAGTTGACTTCGTTACACATTAGGCATTCCCATGCTTGCTCAGTCCTCCGCTGCAGCAGCCACCCTAGCAAATCCAGATGGTACCCGGTGCGGAAAATTGCCAGTCACCCTTCCCCTACCACACACACACACAGATTTGTATCTTAAAACACGTATTTTTTGCTATTTTTTACACCTGGGATGCCCCCCCCCCCCCTTCCTTTTCCGCACATATCTTCCCAAACCACCTCCTTCATTTACACCTTCTTTATGTTGTTGCATCGGATCTAAGCAAGACTGCACAGCCTCCATAGCTCCGGCGAGGATCGATGACCCGCAGGTGAATCGAATTGAGTATTTTAGAGTTACGAAACACGTTTATATTCACTAAGCCAGAGACGTTGACTGCTGTGTTATACGAGTTATGAAATTGCTATTTATATAACACAGGACAATACTATACTGCATTTTTCTAAAAAAAAAATTAACGGAATATTCTGTTGTAAAAAAGTAAAAGTAAAGGACCCTTTCCACGCCTTTTGGTATATTGGGCATATAGGGCTAGACCTATATTTTATAGACCAAACGGCAGTTGTGTAAATAAAGAAAAAAAAAATAAAGATTTTCCTATGTTTATGTTTTAATGTTATCCAAATATAACAATGCAAAATATTACTTATTCTTTTCATGTTTGATAATTAAAAGAATGTATGGCACAATAACATTATAGTTTGTGGATTTATGTTGATAAATACAACACCGCGTGACGATAATCTTTAATCAGAGGTTCCAAGTTCGCTACAAACGGGTCACCCCCATTTGCCAGTGGAAATCAACGAAATACCCTTCATGGTCTTATTCGACAACTAGTAAAAAAGAGATCAGTCTCGGCATAATCAAGAGGCCTGAACACGTAAACTAAATGCATAAGGCATGCTGGCCGAATGTGCCAGTATACTAACAGTCCCCGATAGAAATCCTGTTTATTGTTGAATGAAGCAGTCAATCATGACTCATCAAAACGTTAGTTCTGTCTAGCTGTCTATCTAGACAGACATATGGACGGAAAGATAGACAGACAGTCAGACAGACAGACAGACAAACAGACGGTCAGACAGACAAAGAGGTGGAGCGGTCTGTCAGTCGATCAATTTATAGATGTATGGATAGACAGACGGAGAGAAGGACAGACAGATGGACGGACGAACAGACAGACAGATAGACGGACATAATACAGACAGACGGATGGATGGATGGATGGATGGATGGATGGATGGATGGATGGATGGATGGATGGATGGATGGGTGGATAGATGGATAGACGGGTAGGTAGATAGATAGTTTCGTTGCTTTGTGTGTTTTGTTTCGTTGTACACTTAACGGGAATTTTGCACAATATGGTCGTTCTTGACAACAGATGTTACTTCATCCGGTTAATGGAGCCCGCAAGTTTCAATGTCTGAGAGCAGGTTTGTACATCAACCTAGGGTTCATATTCCCGTGTGGTACTCAACGGTACCTTTATGCCTTTTAAAAAAAAGTCTACTGCAATAGACACTCCCTAATAAATATCGGCAGCTTTTTTTTTCCTAGAAGGAAAGCCTAACATAAAAACACGACACATTTTATGCAAGCAACCCGGGTGTGTTGTATTCCTGCACAGTAGAAGAATGACGCAGTAAATAAATAACAAATTATATTGTTTAAGAAAGTGGGGCTTTGCGTTAGGTATTTAATATCGGATATTGTTGTTTGTTCATCACGAGAGATGAAGACCACGTTTCATCCAAATGATTATGAGAACGAGGGTAGACGATTAGTCCAATA